AAAATTTTACAATAAATTATACTACGTATAACACACGAATTAATCCTAATTTTCGAATCTGTCATTAGTAAGTTCATGGTCTTTCTCTCTCTAGGGTTCGGCGTTGGCCGCCTCTAGTGTCGCTGGGGTGTGATCGATTTTGGTACTCGGTAGCGTTCGAAGGGTAGGGGCGGAGTTTTGGCTTCGTTCGGCGGCTGGGTCGAGCAGGGTTGGTTCCGTCAGTTAGGACTGTGGCAGCAGGGCTTTTCTCTAATTTATGGAGGAGGTGCTGGAACAGTACAAAAGGATGGCTTTGGAAGAGAATAACAACAATCTCAATTTGATGATGAGGAGGAAGATGTTCTTGATCCTGCTGCAAAAGCGGCGGAATACCCAGTGGTGGGGGTAATTCTTACAGATCGGAAGGTCGGCATTCAGGATGTGCAGGACCTGTTTGCCTCACTCTGAAGGCCAGGAAAAGAAATGTGAGTCTAAGAAATTGATGACAAGAGGTATTTATTCACTTTTTATCATTTAGTTTATATGAATTGTGTTATGGAGGATGGTCCTTGGCTGTTTGAGAGGAATTTGTTATTATTAAAGGTGGTTGGTCCTAATGATATCCCTCATAAAATGAATTTGTTTGAAGCAGAGTTTTGGGTGCAAGTGCACAATATTCCGTATAAATTTATGAATGTGGGCACGACTAGAAATGTGGGTAATTATATTGGGGAATTTATTAGAAAAGTGGAATAAATATGCTAAGGTATCTTATTCATTTGACTATGTTGTGCTTTCGATGAAAACAAATATGTGAATTTAATACTCTATTTGGCTGTATTTTGTTTATGCAGAGTTGCTTCTAAATTCCACCATCTCTACGCTCTAAAGCAGCCCCTTGAGAGCACATAGTTCTGGTTTTTTAACTCCATTTAATTCTTGTTATTATATACTACCTCCATCCATTTTTAGTTTGCCAACTTTGACTTTTCCAGTCAAAGATGATAAACTTGGATCCATTATTTTAACTAATATATTTATGTAAAAGTTAATAAATTTATACTTTTATGATAGTATTTTCAACAAAGAACATTGTCATATAATTTTTTTATTATCAATATTACCGTGTATAAATATATAATCGGTCAAAGTTGAACAACTTTGACTTGAAAATTTGTGTTTGGCATACTAAAAAGGGGCGGAGGGAGTATTTATATTCTGAAAATAATTAGTAGTATCTCATGTTTATCCTTGTTATGATATACTTCATCCGTTCTTTTTTAGTTGCAACATTTACCTTTTCACGCTTGCCAATGCACAACTTTGACCATCATTATATTTAATTCTCTATTAGTAAAAAACTTTTAAAAATCAGATTACGAAACTTCGTAATGAGACGAATTCAACTGTATTTTTCAAAAACAATAATTCACATACATCAAGAAATAAAATGTAGTCAAAGTAGAGTACATGAATAGTGTGTAAATTCCAATGCTGTACCTAACTGCCAGTAGACCTGATGTAGTTTTCAGCGTAGGTCTATGTGCCCGATTCCAGGCCAATCCTAAAAGAATCCTCAAGTATCTGCTTGGAACCATGGACTTGTGCCTTTGCACATCAGGTATGACTCATTTTCTTGGTCCTTGTCTAGTTTCTTGGGCTTCAAAGAAACAACATTCAGTTGCTCTATCAACGGTTGAGGCCGAGTAAGTTATCGTTGCCTCATGTTGTGCTCAATCGATATGGATCGTGCAATAAGTAAGTGATTTTGGTATCTCTTTACGGTGTACTCCCATAATGTGTGATAATACAAGTGCAATTAGTATTTCCAAAGATCCTGTCATGCACTCGCGCACTAACCACATTCACATTCGCCACCATTTTCTTAGAGATTTTGTTGAAAAAGGCTTGGTTTGTTTAGAGTATTGTTGCACCGAAAAGCAAATTGTTGACATTTTTACAAAACCTTTGGGGAGGGAACGTTTTGAACTCATACGGATGGAACTTGGGTTGATCATCAGTGCATGAATTATTTTCTTGATATTTTTCTCTTCCTCTGTAATAGGGTTTCTTTATATTTTAGTTCTCTCTACCACGTTGCTCATTGATTTTTCAAGTATTTATTATTTTGTTGATGACAAAAGAGGGAAAAATATGTGCCCTATGTGTTCTATGCTTGATACTTTGTGCTTATTCATTATGAAACTAACTTTAGGGTACCAAGTGTTTGTCATCAACAAAAAGGGGGAATTTGTTGGAACATATTGTTTTGTTGATGATAAAAACCTAGGGTTACTTTTGGTCTATAAGTGATTGCGGGAAAGGAAGTTAAGTCGTGTTTTGGAACAAGCCATAGACCTGAACCCAGAACTATCCTACAGTCCAAAACGGACATATATGTTTTATTGATGACTAACCATGCAGGTGGACCAACAGATAGACCAGCAGAGTTCTATCAGGAACGAAAATTAGAACTATACTTACTTCTATTCTGTGTGAATGATTAATGTGCATAAATGAATTAATATGTTATTGCATAATAATGATATATCTACGTACCTAGATTGCTATGCATGAAGGTGGCACAATTCAAATATCTTTTCATAAATGATTGGACACCACTTAAGTAAGTTAACCTTAATTGTGCTTTATACTTTATAGAAAGTAATATTGGCTTGCTAAATTAAGGATTGCATGACTCGAGATTTGGTTGACCGTAACATGATTATATTTGTCAAATAAATATTCCCTTGCCTCATGATTTGAAAAGTTATCCTTGATTTAAGATACTAAATCTCCTTCGGAAAGAATCTTGACTTGCTAGTAATATAAGGACTATTGGCTTGAATTAATATATTTGCACTTACTTAATTATCTTCCGTATACGGGTGCATGATTTAATTGGTCACTAGCTAATATACTTTCTTTATATGATCACCAATTTAAAAAGGTCATTTACTTAGTCAAGATTATTATTTTAAGAAAAAATCTTTCAATGCATGATTGGTCTATAAGAGTTAACGGTTCAATGCATATATGTTAAGCACATGATTGCATGACTTATTCTTTAACTTGTTAGTTATTTGAAGATACGTAAGTTTAATTCCATGAATGCATCATATACTCCTAACTTCCTTTCATGTATGTGCATCCATTTATTATTATAATCCACTTGCCTTTTTACTACGTGTACTTTGAGCAAAGGTCACCATATTAAAGATAAAGAGATGAGATATCCTCATAAAAGGAAGGATTTTCAAATAATAACAAGGCAAGTCTCACATTTAATGACTTGACCATCCAAGGAAGAAAGTGCAACGGCGCAGTGGTGAACCGCTTATATATATATATATATCGAGATCAAAAGAAAGAAGAAGGTGTGCTTGATCGAGATAGACATCGAGAGATATATTCATAAAAGAAATACTGAAGTTCTAGATATAGTTTCTTCTTTCCCTTCTTCATATTGTAATGAGGTTTTGAGGATTGGCTAAGTGTAGCATCCTCGGGTTGGTTTGTGTGTTGTGAGAGCTTTGTTGTAAAGCTGAGAGGTTCTCTACCCGCAAGGTAGAGAAGCGTAACTCTTCCTAGAGGACATAGAGTTGGGGTGGCTCAAGGGTAGACTAGGAGAGTTTCCTTGGTAATCATTCAAAAGGCTTTTTAGTGAAGTTGTTAAAATTCCTCCGAGGGAGGTCGAGGTTTTTTAATCCCTTTGAGCCAAGGGATTTTTCCTCGTTAAATCCTTGTGCACTTTACTATTTCACAATTCCTTATACCCCACACTAGAACTGGGCGAAAAACTGCCACGGTTCCACACACACACACAATTCACCCCCCTCTTGTGTTGCTAACCGTTTCATCACGTCCCTGTGGAGACGATATATACTCGCACTAAATCCTATATTAGTACATGTTTTTTATTAGTTCGAGAAAACTGACATCAAGTGGGGCTCGTGATGGTACCATGGATTGCAGCCATGGCGCAAGAATAATGAGTTATATGCAAAGCCAATTGCACGGGAACAGTAAATCAAACCCACTAACCGGGATCAGTTATTTAATAACAGCCATTAGATTTGACAGGGACCGCGACCCACGAAAGAATCCCACAACCAAGCCAGACCTAGACAACAGAGCTCGAGCCTAGGCGGGATTCTAGCGAGGTCAGTGTTACCCTAGGGCGTACGTGGCAAGCTATCTGTTGTGCATAGCTATCTAGTAGGGGCATGAGTATAACAGAAGATACATGAACCTAAAGAATTAATGATTGTGGATAATTGGAGACGTTATAAGAGACGTGGAACTAAATGTATTAAATGTATCAGTTTTACCTCCTTAGGCTACTGTAGCTCTGGGTCTATAAATACTTCATGTACTTACTCTAAGAAGAGATCCGCCTCCGGAATAATAAAAATGTTTTACGCTACCTAAATTTCTCTGTTATCATATATTAGCTCTCGTAATTGGAATTAAACTCCATCACGGGTTAAAGGAGCGCACGCTCATAGAGATTGCAAAAACCATAGGATGATTTTTATCTTAGCTATCTTAAATGATGTTATTAATTGAAATGTATTTTTTTGAATTGATCTAGTCTAATATATTTAATTTTATCTGAGACTGAAATCAAACCAATTAAAACATCTTAAATATAACCTACTACTACCTTCGTCATATTAACTTTTCTTGGTGAATGATAACAAACTTTGAACAATAATTTTAATTTTTATATTTGTTTATAATTTATAAATTTTATACTTTTATGAAAAAATTTGAATAAGGAACATTTTGATATAATTTTCATATTTTAATTAATTTCGTATTAAAAAATATCATTAGTCAAAATTGATTGTCATTGACTAAGAAAAGTCAATTTGACGAACCTTTTCGAGACATGACATAGGGGGAACAATATAATATTATAATAATTGGGTTATATCCTTTTCGATAAATTATTCCTAAAATCCTTAGATTTAGTACTCCAACAAGTCAATTACTTAGCCGAATTAAACTGTGAACAAATAATAATCACTTCAGAAGTAATTACTTAGAATTGGGATTTGTTTCAGTTTCAGATCATAACACACTTAAAATGTTAGATCAGACAGACTTCAAGATTTATAACATATATATATACATATATAATAGACATCTATCAAACCAGACCAAGTCAGATTTAAACAAATCAAATTAATTTCAGTCTTGTAAATAAAAACTTTCTAGTATAACTTTTATTTACATTACTATTTGCAGTAAGGGTGACATGTTTTTATTAATAGGGTAAGTAAACGATGATGTAGTGATATAATTAAGGGAAAATTCGCGAAATACGAGTAAATAAGTTTGAAAATTCCAAAATTGGACTGTCATATTTTTATTCCCAAAATAGGAGTAATTATTGCCAAGTTTGGAAAATACTGCCATGTTTAAAGTTTGGCACTGTCAAAACATGGCAGTAATTAGTTCTATTTTGCAAATAAAAACCCGATTGTCCTATTTTGGAATATACAAACGTTTTTAGTCGTATTTATGGTAATTTCCTTTATAATTAAGGAACCAAATTTGGATGACTTCATTATTCAGCGGGAAGCCCATTTTGTGTCCAGGCAGTGTATCCGCCAGCTATGTCCGTAACTCCAGTGAAACCCTGCACCATAAAACATAAAAGGCAATCAACAATTTTAAATGTCATTCACTTCATTTGCATGATTATATACGGAGTAGAAAATAACAAAAAACAAAATCAGCACAAGTATTTAGATATCACCAAAAGCTAGTTTCAGATTCATAATAGACTATTTTATTTGGAATTTCAAAGTTTAATTAAATAATTAGAAGAAAATAAGAAAGAGTTCAAAATGAGAAGAAAATGTTGGTGGACGATGATGGAGGAGAAGAAAAAGAAAAAGGATGGGGAAGAGGCGAAGAATACAAGTACAAGAGATCGCTGATTGGCGGAATTGAAGATAAATTAGAAGAGAAAAAATTAGCTGGAGATGGGTAGAGAAAACCATCCTCAGACTATGAAATTAGCTAGAATTATTGGAGAAATTAATTTAGCATGTGTGGATTGGAGATGAAGAAGGTTGGTGGGAGATTTGAAGGAAGCTAGATTCCTGCAGGTGGAGGTGATATATGACAAATACGTATACTAAGAGATAACAAGGAAGAGAGTTAGTTGCTGGAAGGAAGAATTGTAAACATGGGAAGGGCCGGGTAAATTTGAAATTGGAGCTCCTATTACGGGAATATCGAAAGAATGGTCCTAGTATATTTCACAAGTCTAATGTTTTGCTCCTATTTGAACCAATTGCTTGAGTATTAGGCCTTGTTTGATTCAAAGGAGGGGAGGGAATAAGGGGAGAGTCAAGGATGGAAGGGAAGGGAAGGGGAAGAAGGATTTTGATAAAAATTTGTGTTTGGTTGGAGGAAATAGGGGAAAAGATTTAATGAAAATATTTTCCCAATTTACCTTTATTTGATAGCTTACTTAAACATTAGATACATCTCTATTCTGAATCTATTCTGATTTGATTCATTTCAAAGTTAATGTACTGAAACACACAATAATATCAATAGTCAAGGTACCATAAATGCATTTCACTCGGTAGAGTTCACTTGGAAGCTAAGTAATAAATAAAGTTATGACTTTGTGAAGTCTCTGATCTCACGAGTTTATGAGTTGCATATATACTTGCATTCAATATCTTTACGTGATTTAACTCAAATGTCTTATGATCGAGTTGATGCGAGTCTCAATTTCATAGTTTGACATGTGTGTTGAAGACCGAATAATGATGCAACTATTAAATGAGTTGAGAGGTGAGAAAAAGAGACGGAGAAAAGAAAGAAAGAAACCCGAAAAAACTTAGACTAGAGGATAAAAAAGGATATGATTCTTCTTGAGTTAGATGAGAGGATAACTTTGAGAGCGAAACGGGGAGAGTATATGTGAGGAAGATTGATCTCATCTTATCTTTTTATGTTTCATATCATCTTTATTTTTTTCTTTTTATCTATTTATTTTATCTTTTTTATGTTATCTTATATGTATCGTAATCTTATCTTTATTATATTTTTTTGGGAAAAGGTGCAAATAGGCCCATGTACTAACCAAAAAAGGTCAAATAAGCCCTTATTTAGGAGGTTCTGTACGGCTGTCGTCATTTCGGGTGGTTCCCGATGGAATTTTTTGATGAAATTTTTTGAGAATCTTATTTATCAAGTCTAGTTTACTCATACCAAATTTCAGGTAAAACTTCAATCGGGAAGGCATTCAAATGAATTCTTGAAGATAACTGCGCTTCTAACTGCACAGTTATTTTCAAGAATTCATTTGAATGCCTTCCCGATTGAAGTTTTAGCTGAAATTTGGTATGAGTAAACTAGACTTAATGAATAAGATTCTCAAAAAATTTCATCAAAAAATTCCACCGGGAACCACCCCAAATGGTGACGGCCGGACAGAGTCTCCTAAATAAGGCCTTATTTGACCTTTTTTGGTTAGTACATGGGCCTATTTGCACCTTTTCCCTATTTTTTTTTATCTCATCTTATAATTTTATTTTTTATTAACTTTTGTAACCCCAGTTTCATATAATGTTATTGTTTTTTGTGTCTTATGATGGAGTTGATTGAGATCTTAACACCAATTTGACCCGGGGGAATTAATAATTGATAATAAGACTTACCTTAGAAACAAGGTCAGATGCGGCCATAAGCGATCTTTTGCCTGATTGACATCCCTAATACAATGAAATCCCCGCCAAAAAATCAATTAGTAGTCATTTTCATATGAAAATTTCTATTTGTACTCACTTGTAACACTTTCTTGTGCATAGACATTTCGTTAAAAAACAGCAATTGTCTATGTACATAGGCGAATGCAAAATATACACAAAATATGTACACTCCTTAGTTAACCGTGTAGACATGCAACTCGTTTAGAAAAAGACAGCAATTGTTCGTGTAGACATGAGAGTATTGTGCCAAGTGCGTACATATTTTGTGTACACCAAGAATGATTGTTTTCATATGGAGTGATGATAGAACTAATATATTTCATTTGACCCAATTTATAAACTCTACATGTTTTTTGTTTTTCTGTTTGGATTGCAATAAAATAAATATTTATTTTATACTACCTTCGTCCAAAAAAAGTTCGTCATATTGACTTTTGTTGGTCAATGACGATAAACTTTAGACAATGATTTTAATTATTATATTTGTATAAAATTTATAAATTCTATACTTTTATGAAAATATTTAAAATAAGGAACAATTTGGTACAATTTCCATACTTATAATAATTTTGTATTAAAAACTATCATTGATCAAAGTTGATTATCATTGACCAAAAAAAGTCTAATTGGCGAACCTTTTTGGGACGGAGAGAGTAATGTAATCCTCTAAGACGGTAAGTTCATAAATGCTTCAATCAATCATATTTTATCAAAAACACTTTTATTGCATAAAAAAGTAGTGTGTTATCACCATTACTGTCAGTGAAGTTTATTGGATCTCCACCAAAAAGAAGAAAATGAAACAAAACAAAAGATTCTCGCTGTCAAATAAACAAATGAAAACAAAAAGAGGTATGTGGGAAAATAATATTAGAGAAAATTGAAGTGCATGAATGTAGTGTGAACCAAGGGAAAACATAAAATTTGGTATGCAAGGAGTACTGTATAAGTACCAACATGTGATCTTTGGTTTGAAATAGAGATGTGCAATTGTTCAAGTGATGATTATTCCAAAAGATGTAAGCTAGGTGTATTTGTTGTACATATTCAACTTATCAAGAAAGAATCAGATGCATTTGAAGTGCTAACACTCTTCAAAGCGCAAGTAGTTGGTGCTACATTACCAAAGATCACACTAGTGAGTAGTGACAATTTAATGACGACTTTAGTATGCAATTCAAGGATGATTTAAGAGATCGTTCAATATATATTCCATAAATGTGGTGAAACCTGCTTGCTATGTGAAGTTACCAGAAAGTGGTGCAATCGATAGTAAAATTAGCCAAATCATTTTGGATTAATGTGGTGAAAACTAGCCGCATGAACAATCTATCATAATGAGCTACAATAAATAATAATACTCCGTAATAAATATTTTGTGATACTTACAACAATAATTTCATCATCCTTCCGGAAGTGTTTCAGTACTTCATCCAAAAAATTGGGGTTCTTTGACATGCCTGAAATTATGAGTTTAAGAGGAATAAATTACAGTAAAGACAAATAACATAACATACAAACCAAAACTTTAATGATATTACTCTAGATGAATCACACAAAAATGTGAATTAGAAATCATTCCATTTATTTATCTGTCACACCACGCTGCTTTAGAAGTATGTACAAAATTAGACTCTTCAATTCCTCCCACATGAAAAAACATCTTTCAATTCTTAGATGATCATAGTATATCTTCATGGAGCTTGTTCCGCTTTACCTACTGATATTTTAGGCGTAAACGGTAAAACCTCCATTACACTAAAACTAACAAGAACTAGCTACTTATTCTAAATATTGTGTTTATTCTAGTAATTTAATACGATCCGGAGTGAGAAAAAGGGTAAAGTCAAATACGTAGTCGTGTTGCTATCCAAATTACTCATTTAATCCCCTGATCGAAAAACACCAATCGAAGTAATCATCACAATAAGAGTTTGCAAACACTTCATTTACTAATTAAGTTATCAAGATCAACCACATCTCATCCAATTACTTGTCATCAGTTTTGCCAACCTGATCCAACTTTAAACATGTAAGGTACGTTTACGGCCCCGGCAACATGACCAGCCTCAAACTCTTCAATGCTCCTACATACGTTAGTGCACAATGTTACTTAGGCACTTATGAAAATATTTTGAATAAGGAACATTTTGATATAATTTTCATATTCAAAATAGTTTCGCATTAAGAAATATCATTGGTCAAAGTTGATGGTCATTGACCAAGAAAAATCAATTTGGCGAACTTAATCATAAGTGATTTCATTATAACTCTAGTCACTAATCACATTTTGTAAACAATTTTCACTTTAGTCATAAGTATGTAATTATTTCATATTATCGTTGACAAAAACCGGCATCGAAAAACGAGTCATTATTAGTAATAAGTAAATAAATTACCTGACATCCAAGTAACGATGACCAGCTTGTAGAAGCTCATGTGCCACTCGGACAGGCACAGAAGCTGGGGAGCGCACTTTCACTCCCACTCTTGCCATCCAACTGCATGAGGACAATAAATTGTTGGCTCTAGTTTTGTAGTTGAAATGAAATTATGTAGTCTTGTTTAAATTAAATTGGTCTAATCTATTAGATGTATATTTTTAGGGAAAGTTCCCGAAATAGGACTAAAAAAGTTTGAAAATTCCAAAATAGGACTGTCATGTTTTTATTCCTAAAATAGGACTAATTACTGCCAAATTTGGAAAATACTGTCATGTTTGAAGTCTGGTACTGTCAAAACATGACAATAATTAGTCCCATTTTGGGAATAAAAACATGGAAGTCCTATTTTGGAATTTCCAAACTTTTTTAGTCCCATTTTGGGTAATATCTCATATTTTTATGTACGTAGTACTCCCTCCGTCCCGTAATTAAGTTTACAGTTTGACTTCACACAGATTAAGAAAATAAATTTGACTTTACTATGAAGTGCACTGTTTTGCACTGTTTAAACACTGTTTGACACTGTTTGGCACTTTTTTGATGTATACTATTTGTCAAATAAGGAAAGTTTTGAAGTGTGAAGTTAATTTCGGGACTGCCCAAAAAGGAAAGTGAGAAGTTAATTTTGGGACGGGGGAGTATATCACAACTATTCAAGGAGTAGTAATGCTAGCTTGGTAAACGGCCAAAAATGACCCGTATGTCTCTACTTATATTTAGAGACAACACAAACCCGTTTATGTTAAGACACGGGGTTCCATCCTAAAAGGTCAACCTGATAGGAGGAGTAGCCCATGTGTTAATATAGCACTTCGTTCATCCAAACTTTTCCGGTGTAGGACATTTAACACCCCTCCTCACGACCAGACACTTTGTCTGGATCGTGACATCATTCATTTTTTTCATCGGTCCGTTTTTTTTCATCTGGCCATAATTGCCATTTTTTCTAATAATCGTGTCATCACGATTCATAAGGGGCCTCACACCATGGATCGATTTGGCATGAATACCATGTTAAGACATGAGGTTTCATCTTAAAAGGTCAACCTGATAGGAGGAGTAGCCCATGTGTTAATATAGCACTTCGTTCATCAAAACTTTTCCGGTGTGGGACATTTAACAGTTTATGCAATATTTAAAGCTTGTTTGTTGATCTCCCTATTTTCAACTTTATTATTAGGCTTAATAGGTAACTTTTTTTCACTAAACACGTAAATGTTGATTTTGCACGCTGGATTGTGTAACATTAAAAATGTAAGACGGTATTGGATGAAGTTACTGTAGATGGTCATTTGAGACCATTCACTTGTTTAGTGGCTAGTTTTTTGCATACTCTAAGACCTAGCTACTCCTATTTATGTCCACAAGAATTCCAGTATTATTGTTTGTGTCGTTCTTTTAATGGAATGGAAGTAAATTACCGGTTATGGGTATCAAGTTAATGAAGTTATTATATACCTAACGTTGGGGTTTCTGTTGCTAGCACCGAAGTTTTTTCTCTGCTGGGGAAGCCGAAACTGAGATTTTGCAAATCCATACCTGCAACGTATATGCATATTCATTATTCCTCGATCATCATATATACGAAGTACGTATCAGTGTATCACATTTGTGCATGCACATGTAAATATACGTATTCGAGGATACGTATACATTTGTTTCTATATACTAAGTACTACGTATATATATACTCTGTTTTTCTACTATATTTGTTCGAAATGATTGAATGGTTGAAGGTTATAATTTCGTGTACCGTCTCATGAATCAAAAGATATGATGCATTTTGTATAATGTATCAAAAACAATGAATTATTTTTCTTATTGAGACATACTTATTTATAAATTATGGAAGTGGGATAAAGATAGCGCGCCTAAACACTGACCACACATGATTAAATTAGAAAAAACCGAAATTCAAAAAAAGGAGCGCGCCTATTATTAAAACTACTCGTACTTGCATTTTAATGTCATGAACAATATCTTAAAAATCATTCTAGGCGTCCGACTAGTCCCGCTTAGGCGCTAGATGGTGATCGTGCGCCCAATGGCGGACACAGAGGACAATGGGGCTGCTGCCACCCCTCCAAAAAAAACTTTTTAGGTATATTCATGGTTTTAAATTGCGGTTTCGGTCGCGGTTGCGGTTGCGGTCGTTGCGGTTGCGGCTAATGCGGCCGTTGCGATGCGTATTGCGGCCGCTGCGGCGTGAATTATTTTCAAGTTCGCACCAGAAAGAATGATGGACAGACGGATGCGTTGCGGTCTGTTGCGGCATGTCACGGTCGATTGCGGCCTGTTGCGGCGCCGTCGCGCTTGTGTTGCGGTTTCGTCGCGGTTACGTTGCGGTTTTGGCCGTGATTCCAAATCATAAGGGTGTTGCGGGCTGATGCAGTTGCGGTGCCCTCGGCAACCGCAATATTACGGCCGCAATTGCGGTTGCGGTCCGCAATTTGAAACCATGGGTATATTTACCCCGAAAATTTCAATATGTATATTTGTGTATGTATATTTTTGTACTGCCGCTCCTACCAGGGGCAGACCTCCCTATGTTCAAAACTGTTCATGTGAACACGCAAAATTTTTAACTAGTAGTGTAAAAACACATACATATGGGTGCTAGTGTAAAAATTTATATATGTATTTCAACACTCAAAACTTTTAAAATAAATTTCAACCTTCAAAATTTATGTACAAGATCTGGCGCCACTGGCCCCTGCTACCGGGAAATCCTGCGTCCGCTACTATGTGCGCCTTGATTTTAGTCTTGTTGCCCCGACTAATTAGTTTGACGTCTAAGTGAATTAGTTGGCCACCTGTGACGCCTAGTTGATCGGACAGAGCGCTTAATTGGCCGCTAGATTCGCCAAACTTTTCTTTATATATACTCCCCCCGTCCCTTAAAACTTTGCAATCTTTCCCTTTTGGGACATTTCAAAAAACTTTGTCACTTTCCCTTTTAATCAATTATTCTGTGTTTTCTGTTATTTCTCTCTCCTCTGCACAAACTTCAACCACATAGTTTTTACTTTATTATTCTCCATGTCGGTCAACTTTGACAAAGTTTTAAGGCCAAAGTTGTGTGTGTGTGCGTGTATATACATACATACATATAGTGTATGTGTGTTAGTGTGTGTGCGTGTGTGTATATATATAATTATAAAATTGTATCATTGTAAAAAAATTGTAAAATTGTACTAGTAATGTTTATGTCTCCGACCGCCGACCGGTCACTACTAAGGCGCCCGCTTGGGCATTGGGCTGGCGCTAATCAATGTTCTCGCACTTTTTAGAACATTGGGCATGACGACTACTTAGCTTGATTTGATTAAAAATGAAATGATATAAACTAAATTAAGGATGAAATTAAAGATATAAACTAAATTACCTTGGGGAGGAATTGGGTGTGATGCTTGTATGAGGAAGTGAGGAGGAGGATGAATTGAGGGAGAAGGCCTTCATCATTGTTCAGAAAAGAACTTCTTTTGTTTTTTAGAAAAGAACTTCTTTTGTTTTACAGTTCTTGGGAATAATAGTACACAAAACAATTGCTTTATTTATTGGTGCGGCGCGCAGCTCAATGTTGAAGAAAGGTTGGGATAGCTTTATTTTTTCTTTATGGATAAGGCGTACGAACATTACGTGTAAACCAGTTTCGTTTTTGGATAGGATTTGATGCCACGCAAACATAAAGACAGCGACAAACTAAAAAAGATATGAACCTATCCTCGAAATTTGCTGTTCCTAGTCCCATTATACTCCGTATTTGTCTCATACTCTCATTCTTTTCTTTTCTATCTTCCTCTAATTTTTTTGTTGCTCCTGAGGCGTCTGGGGGAAGAGGGTCGGAGTAATCAGAGTTCAGACTCACTCCATCGAATTTCGAATCCGAGACCTCCTGTAAGGGTGAGTGAGTCAGCGACCAGCTAGGCCGGACGACATCCTCCTACTAAATTTATTTTATACCATATTTGGTAATATATGTGTTGTTCTAATTCGTTCTTAATTTATTCCTACTATATTAACTCATTATCAACCACATAAATCTACTTTTCTTAAACATCGCATCACTCTCTTTTGTCTTTTTTTTATAATCCAGGTGTCGGGGCTTCTCTCCCATAATCTTGGAGTCTATGAATTACACTTCAAAGTCCCTACAAAGTTAAATCTGGATCTGATCACAGTTAGCCTCGTTGGTACTGGTTTTAAAGGACGAATCCATCAGGACTTACATCACCTATCTTCCAGGCTACTCCTCCCACCACACGAACCCGCTGCTTTCATTACCATACTCTCCCTTCTCAGCCGCTGAGCAACTCCGTGAAGGTAGGAATTGAAGAATAATTGGGAGCAAGACCTCCCTCATCTCCCCTTGGTGGGAATTGAACCCAATACCTCTCACAAAGGAGATACTTGGGGGTGAATGGTCATCCAATGGACTACACCCATCAATCCAACTCTCCTTTGTCCCAATTTTAGGGGCGGGAAGGAAGATAGTAAATCTCATTCTCAAATCAATCGATGAACTGATTTTATTGAATAATGACAAAAGTATACTAAAACATACGTAATATTTTACTAATAAAATAAATAAAGAAAAAGTTATACTAAAAATAGATAAAATGTTCCTCTAGAGTAACCATTCTAATCCATACGGTCAGAAAAGCTTTTCCAATCTTTTTTTATTATTACACAACTCAGTGCATGAAATCAAAAGTTTTGTGTTTGCTGAAAAAGTTTGCTGATAAGTCACAAAACAACCTCATTAAATGGGTCATAAACTTTCAAAAGTTATCCAAATTTTGACATTTGTCCTGCAACCAACTTTTTTTTTGAAAAATTTGCTGATAGAAATCCGACCCTAGGGGTAGTGATCGGCTGACGTGTTCGGCTAAAGCAAGAAAATATTTAGGGGTGAAAATAATTGTGTACTCCCACCGTCCTCTTTTAAATGTCCTGTTTTAACATATTAGAATGTCCCTATTTAATTGTCTCATACCTTATTTGGTAAAGTTTGTGTGACTCAAAATCATTCTTACTTTATTCTTACTTTATCAATTAATATTGACCACACAAACTCACTTTTGTTAAAACTCGTGTCACCCTCTTCCGGGATATTTAAAAGGGGACGGAGGGAGTATTGATTAATAGGAATGTACAATATTTATAGATACAAGCGTGAGCCCTTGGCCCGTTAAATATAATTAAAGCTAAGCTAATCTATTAATATACAAAGCCCAATAAGAGGTAGCTGGAAAACCGAGTAAGAGAGACTCAAAAGTGCTAAGTGTAAATTGAGTATAAAATTTGCGAGAGTAGTACTTGTAAACTTGTGCGCATGAAATCAGATCGCTTTCCAAAATTGGAAGGTGATATTTATACTACAAATGTATCATGGATATATCAGCTAAAAATCATTACCCACGGTTACCCTCAATTATATTCGTTACCTTTTGGGGCGGTTATGGTTTAAATAAAAAATACCTGTTGAGTAATGCGACGATTATGGGGCGGGTATGGTTATATGTAAAATCGTTCCCGATCTGTCCCATTACCATCTCTAATGAAAAGGTTGGCAAACTCAAGTACTCATATATCCTCTATGCTCCCCAAAAACAAATCTTCCATGCTCCCAAAGTCATATCCACTAACATCCCACATTTTACTGGTCGTCCATATACTTTGTTGTGTGCGAGATTAAAGCCAGTTAAAATTTATTTTTAGTCTTTTTCATTTTTTAAGAATTTTGTATGTAAATTTTGGGTGTTTTAATTTTTATATAAAAAAAGTTGATACGTGTATCCATCAGGATACATGTATACAAAATTTTAAAATAATTACCAAAAATGTTGGAAACTTTTAATAAATTGTAGATATACCCCGGAAATGAACGGTGCGAGTATCCTAAAATATCTTATATGAGAACATTTTTGGTACATATGCCGATGCGATTGTATAGTGAAGTATCCATGCTATATAGGTGCCAATAGTAGTAACTTCAATACCAGTAACCAGTGGCGGACCCAGAAGTTTCCCGAAGCAGGGGCACTCCAACATAGATGAAAATGGGTCGGGTCGGGCGGAATTAGGTGTATCATTGGTCTTTTTTGTTAAGTGCGTTCAAATTAATATTTTTAACTGGAAATAGATTATTCAATGCCGACGTCAAGCTAAGCAGTGAACATATATGGATTATAAATCTAACTGTGAACTCATTAAGACAATTCTAAACAATAATATTTGACTTTTGGAAAGAAATACATTATTTGACGGATAAGAAATGACTCATCTTTGTGCAGTTTATGATTTTACATTAGAATTTTTGCTATTTTTCATACTATAAAATGATCAAGATTTCATATTTGAACTAGGATCATGTCGTTGTTATTCATTGTGCCACAAAATTTGTTGGTACTTGAATGAAATATAATACCATCGTGTTAAAAATGAAGTATAAGTCAAGTTTAGGATTTTATCATTTAATACAACTTTATTTATTAATATGATTCTATATATATATATATATATATATATATATATATACCTTTTACGAGTATCGTATTATAGAAAAAATTTAAAGGGTTTGTCAGTTTGAAACTAATTTATCGCGAATTGATACATTCTTTCATATATGGACTTTTATTCAAGATAAAAGTCTTCAATCTTTTAAGTTTATCCCGCATATTAGAACCTTTTTCATATCTTTGAACTTTAACTTTGGATCGACATTATTCAAAAATATGACAAGTAAAAAATCATCTATGCCACTTTTCAAAGAAAGTGCAGTAACCATATAACAACATATCTAACTATAAGAATTTGCTCCATCATAACTTCAGAGTTGTTTATATTTCTTACTACAATTGTTATATGTCTTTGACGGAGTCCTATATTTCTAGTAGTTTTTTGAAATAATGACAATATGATTGAAATAAAGATAGTCGACAAAAATATGACTTAGGTAGTACTACCATAGCAATTTTAGTGACCATGATTCTGTTCATTAGTTATATTCCGGTAAAATTTATGAAAAATACTCTAATTTTTTGCCCGGATAGCAGGTGCACAGTTTTTATGAAAAATCATCGGTCGAGTGTTCTTGTGTGCTAGTAAGAGGTTTGTATTGACTTCTTTATCAATCATGAATCAGGATTTCTTCTGCATCGATATAGAGGCCGATCGCCCCCCGCCTGAACCACTGCTGATCCATGAAGATGACATCCGATGGATTGCTTTCTTTCCAGTGGCTGGTCAAACCGGAACAATTTCTGCACTTGACTCCTTATCGGTGGCTGGAACAACCGGCAAGTTCAATAATTCCTTTTCGGTGGCTGGTCAAGTCGAACCCATTTCGAGTAGCATGAGCAGACACACTGCGGTACGAGTCTACATTGTTGCATGGTTAGTGAACATGAGTGCATTTATATGGCGTTTTTGTTCTTTGTCTCACCCTAGTGTAGTTTTGAACGCTATGATTGTAATGCTTCGGCTTTTAGTTGTTATGTTTCTTGTTAAGATCTGATTATCAATAAAATGGTTATTTGATTTTCAAAAAAAAAAAAGAATAACATTTTAGATCATATACAAACACGTATAGTTTTAATATTAATCTAGAACTAGTAGCTTTTTTCACATGTGTTGTTAACGTTAATGGTACATATATCCTTTAGGAAACTAAAATATAAAAGCCAAAAAATGTTCAGCTAATCTAGACGCCCTAAGCGGCTAATTAAGCGCTCTAGGGGGGGGGGCAACTTGGCGCCCTAAGCGGTCGACTAGTTCACACAGAAGCCAAACCAATTAGTCGAAGTGCCTAGACTAAAATCGGGGCGTTCAGCCACCGCCTAGTGCCTAGGCAGGGACTAGTGAGGCGTCTAGAGCGGTTTTTAGAACAGTGATAAAAAATATACTCCCTCCGTTCCCAAAAATACTTCCCACTTTCCTTTTTGGTTCGTTCCCAAATATTCTTCCCACTTTCCCTTTTTGGACAATTTGTGTGGCTCACATTCATTTTACCTTTTTCTCACACAACCACAACCACACAATTCCACTTTATTCCACTTTCTTAATAGGCGTGCCAAGTCAAACCGGGAAGAATTTTTAGGAACGGAGGGAGTATAAATTAATTTGCAAAAAAACACATTGAAAATAGAAACAATGGCCTAAATATTACTCCACAGGTTTCATTAGACAAAAATATGACTAAATTAGGAATTGACAAAAAAGTGTCCGAACAATTAAATCTCAAGCTTTTCTTCCACTCATCTGCGCTTAGGGGTGGACTGAACCGGGCCGGTTCGGGCCTCGGGCCTGGGCCCGGCCGGGCCTCGGTTCAGAATATTGAGGCCCGAGCCCGAACCGGGGGTGGCCGGTTCCGGGCCGGTTCCGGGCCAGACCGGGCCGGTTCCGGGCCGGGCCACCCGCCCTATTTTTTTGTTTTTTGTTTTTTTGGCTTCTTTATTTAATCCCCTACCCCTCTTTCTCAACCCCAAACCACCCCAAACCACCTCAAATGGACCAAAATACCTAATCTAACCCAAAACATAAAAAAATTTCAAAAAAAAATAAAAAAAAATATTTCCGGCCCGGACCGGGCCCGAACCGACCGGGCCCGAACCGGCCGGGCCGGTTCACCATATGGAAGGCCCGGGCCCGGAACCGGGAACCACCGGGCCGGTTCGACCCGAACCGCCGGTGAACCGGGCCACCGGGCCGGGCCGGTTGCTACAGTGGCCGGGCCGGGCCGGTTCTGGGTCGGGCCGCCCGGCCCGAGTCCAGGCCTATCTGCGCTCAAACACAAGAGACGGATCATCTCTTTCCATCTTCCCAAGGTATGGAACAGATCGACGCTAGCAGGCCATCTGCACTACCTTGACCATCCCCGTCGTTGTCTCCCTCCACGGACAGAAGAGATGGATCGTCTCCGCCATCCTAATCCTCACCCCTGCCTTTTCCTGCACCTTCTTCCTATTCTCGTTGATTCGCTACCTAGAGTTTGGAATTGCATGAACAGACCAAAATTTCTTCTCCTCCCAATTTCAGAATCTGCAATGACAACTCAAAATTGGATGTGGTTATGCGACGACGACTGGGAGGGTTTTGCAAGTCCGGATGGTGACGGTTGCAATAGATCTGGTTGCGGCTATGGCCCGATTGTGAAGGGGCTGGTGGGTTGGTGGGCTGGGGGGGGGGGAGCTGATGGGTTGGGGGCTGGGTGGGCTGGGGAGGGGGCTGGTGGGTGGGGGAGGGGCTTGTGTGGTCACAGTTAGGGGGAGGCTATGGTGTCACTAACGGAGGTGGTTGCCGGGGCTGAGTGCGAGTGGGGTCGGGGTGGCTGCTGATAGGTCATGGTGTCGACAACGGCAATTTCATTTATAGGAAACTATCACAGTGACATGTTTTCCAGCGGCAGTGACATTCATTGCGGTGGCGTCACTTTAACAGTGTCATTATTGTGGCGGTGTGATGGTATACTTGATGTGAATAAATTGACGGTGACCACTCTCAGTGACATGAAAAATGAACATAGTGACATAAATTATTTGTCAATTCCAAATATATGACCTTGTTAATCACTTTTTTGTCAATTTTTAAAAGTACTCACTTTTTTGGAAATTCATTTGAAATTCGTAATATTAAGGGGAAAAACCCCTTGAAAATAATGATCCTATATGTTAATAAATAAAATATGAATAGTAATTACAGATCACCAAAATGATAAATTCCAAAACATAAACTTGAAATACATTCATAAAGCATAATTGAATAACATTAGACTCCATTTTTTTCAAAAACAAAACATTAGACTTCATCTCTTTATATACTATTTACATATGCATTCTTTAACAAAATTGATTTCAACTCTTTCTTATCAATTAAAACAATATTAAAATTAAATTGATACGGTATGAGTTCATATATCTACTCATAAATTTGATGAGGTAAATGAATTGAAAAAAAAAACTTAAATACGTGTATTTTTCTATGCGTACTACTACTGGTACGAGTATAAAAAGTTTTTGCGCTTGAATAAATTGGTTAAGTATTTTCATTTTGAAATATAGCCCTTGAGTCTCACACAATATAATTGTGGATATTGAAAATTATTTAATATTTTGGACTTACTATTCTATGATAGTCCATAATATTATTAAACCGATTTAAATGCTACTGGACTATTATCCACGCTACTGGGCCTCTTTTGAATTTATTGGACCAAAACCGGATTCTACCGGACCACTCGTATATATCAAAAGAAAAAAAATATTAATATGGATCCGTTCAGATAAAATTTAGTGATTAAATTAATTTGGATCATTTGATATATCCAATTAATTTAATTATAAATTGAGTCTTTAACAAAATGGACCGATGCTATTGATTTCTCTATTTCAAGCCCAATATGAAATAGTGGCCTAATGAATAAGAGGCATGATCCAATTGATGAAGAGAGCAATGAATCTAGTTAAGGAAATATGTTTGTATGCGTGGAAAGTGGTTGCGAACCTTGTTAAAAAGGTTGTCCAGATACATTATATAAGTGCTGATTTTTCTAGCCATTAAAATGCAAGAAAATAGAACCGGAAGCCCATTTTAATTGAGGCCCATATGATATGGACGAATTTCTGCAACCCTAGGCCATATTTTCACCCCCTCCACACCTATAAATAGGGGTCTCAGTTGAGAGGAAGAGAGGAGAACTTCCAGTCGAAGAAACGTTACAGAAAAGCTCTGAAGAACTCCCGAAAGGCTCTGAAGGATTCCGAAACATCGGAAGATATCAAGCCACATTTTTTTCAAGAATATATGTTTAATCCTTTGTGATTTCATCTATTCTTGATCAAACAAAGCCAAAAGTTGAAGAACGTTCGAAGATCTGAAGAACGAAGCTTGAAGATTCGAAGATCTGAAGAACGAAGCTTTGAAGATTCGAAGATATGAAGAATGAATCTTTGAAGATTTGAAGATATTCATATGAAGATTGAATCAAGACTCAACTGAAGATCAAGCCATATATCCCGGGAGGCCCTTTAACAGAAGATCAAGCCATAAAACGGCTCTTTTGTTGAAGATCAAGCCACTTGAAAACCGGAGGCCCTTCAAGCTGAATTCTTTATTCAAGAAGATTTGAAGATCCGAAGAATGAAGGTTCGAAGATTCGAAGATCTCAAGAACGAAGATTTGAAGACCCGAAGAACGTTCGAATATTTGAAGAATTAGAGGTTTAATTTTTAATTAAATTATTTAATTATATTCATATCAAATTGCAAGTGAAGAATCAGAGGATTCATATTTAGAGATTGTACCCAATATTCTCACATATTATTATTTGCGATCAATTTTAAGTAAATACTTAAAATTTGTTTCACAATAATAAATTCCAATTATATAATCTTTGTTATGGGCGTAAAAGTATGTTTGAATGGTGGCTAACTCAAATACTCAATGAATATGTTAATTTACGTAAAATTAAAGCTAGAGAGCTATAGGAAGAGGGAGGAGCGACAATGGGGAAATCCTATCCTCCTCTTCCTCTTCTTTCCTCTTTTCTTCCCTTTTTCAATTTCTTTTCGCTTCAATCATAAAAAAGGTTTCATTTAATCAGTAATATCATTTCTACGACATACACGTTTATTTCTTACTGTTGTTTAGAGATGTTATTTTTTGTGGTGAAGTGTCGCTTGATAGGTGTTATTATCTTCCACACCATCATTTGTTGGGTGTTATCATGTGCCAGTAAGATGTTTGTACCGGCTTATTCATCAATCATGAATCTTGATTTCCTTAGCATCATAGAGGCCGATCACCCCCCTCTTGAACAACCATTGATCCAGGAAGATGGAATTGTGTGTATTACTTTCTTTTCGAGGGCTGGTGAAACAAGAACAATTTTCGCACTTGGCTCCTTACCAGTGACTAGAAAATCCGGCAAGTTTTATAATTCCTTTTCGGTGGTTGATCAAACTAGACCCCTTTTGAGTAGCATGAGTAATCACACTGTAGTATGAGTCCGCATGGTTGCAGGGTTGGCGAACATGAACGCCAGTATGGAGTATTTTTGTTCTTTTTCTCACCTTAGTGTAGCATTGAACGTTATGATTGTAACGCTTCGAATTTTGATTGTTATATTTCTTGTTACTCTTCTAAAAAATAATTAAGTTATTTTCTTTCAAAATATATCTTCATTACGTCACGTCTACATTTTGAGATATTTGCTACGAAGTAAGTTGTTTGCATTACTAATGAGTGAGTGTTTAATAAAAGAGGGTTGTGAATAGAATTGTCTTATTTTGTTGGAGTGCTATATATGGGCCTATACTCCCTAGGACATCCATGAATAACATGACTTTTTTGTATCCACGTTAAAAAGGAGACCGGAAAGTACTCGGACTGTATCGGTATTAGTCCATTTTTAAAATCAATTTAATTATAAAAATGTGCTTAAAGGTGCAATTTATTTGAAGCAATAAATTTATGATATGATGCTTAACGGTGCAATTTAGCATTATAGATACTAACATAGTTGGAAATTAAATTTACGATTAAGATATGGTAGTAATGATGTTTATCATGAATGTTCTTATATTTAGGCGAAGTCGTGTATGGGTGTTCTTTTAATATTCAAATGGGAGAACTATCAAATAAGCCTTCGAACTTACATAAAAGTGCAAATCACCCTTTTATATGAGGCTCTGTCCGGCCGTCTCCATTTGGAGCGGTTTCCCATGGAATTTTTTGATGAAATGTTTTGAGCATCTTATTCATTAAGTCTAGTTTACCCATACCAAATATCAGCTAAAAAGTTAACCGGGAAGGTAGTCAAATGATTTTCTGAAATATACTGCGCTGTTTAACTGTGCAGTTATCTTCAAAAATTCATTTGATTCCCTTCCCAATTGAATTTTCGCTGAAATTTGGTTTGAGTAAACTAGACTTAATGAATAAGATGCTCAAAAAATTTCATCAAAAAACTCCACCGGAAACCACCCCAAATGGAGACGGCCGGAAAGAGCCTCCTATAAAAGGGGTGATTTGCACTTTTTATGTAAGTCCGAGGCTTATTGGTAGTTCTCCCATGTTCAAATTAATACATAATCATCTTCCAAATAGTCTAAATAGATAAATAAAATCTAGCAGGAAAATCGATGTTTTGACATTTAAAATTTTTCTAAATAAAGAGCTTTTTCAAAACTTTTATCCAAATATAGTTTATTTACAAAAATTATGATTATATGTTACTAGAGTATAATTGTTGTGGTCATTTAAGTGTAAACATTAAACATATGTTATATGATTTAATTAGTAATATAATCACTACATTTATGAAGCTAAGCTATATTTTTATAAATAACTTTTATTTTTTTATTTATCGTAAGGCGCTTATATCATTAAGATAGCAAACAACAGGAGTACAAGAATGTGAAAGGACCGCATGTAGCCATCCGCCCATAGACGAGACTCTGAGTTAATCACCTTAAACAAAGCAATATAACTCGTTAGACCGAATTTGGGCAAATTAAAACTAACGACGCCTACCGCAGACCTTTCGACCTCCAAACCTAGTGCAAGAGTTTCACAGTAAACAAAAGAATAAAAACATAACAAAACAGATAACTCGTGTAAATAAAACCTAAGGAAAATAAAATAAACTCCAGCCCTCGAAATCTTAAACAAAACCATCCACTGCAAATCGACGGGTCTAGGAGGTCTGACCCGCCACCTCCCCATTTTTTGGCCTATCAAGTGTCATGTCTTCGTTCCCTGTATCCTCTTTAAGCTTGTCCTCCCATATTCTCCTGTGTTTTGTCTCTCCTAGTTCCCCTTCCATATCATCCGCGCCTTGTTTTGAAGCACTAACCCCTGTCTCAGCCGATTGCTCCTCCTCGAGCTCAGTCTTCCTTTGCTGTCCGGCTCCCCTGAAGCTGACAGGGTCTTCTACGAACCACTTATTAGGGCATGCAAGGCTAGTCTTTACTCCTCCTGCCCTAAGCTCAACTCCAAAAGATTTTTCAATAATAATTCCTTCCTCATATCGTAACGAGCAAAACTTATCCGAATGCCCAACTACCCCAATATGAAACAGAAATTGGGTAGTTTCTCATACTTAAAATCAACCCAATGTCCCTTTCCTTCCTTCTTCAGAGAAGTGCCCTTTTTCAGGGGCTTCCTAACATCCATACAGATTCTGATTCTCAAGAAAGATTTCTTTTTATCTCCATAACTGTTCTCATCAAACTTTATAAAAGAGCCAATAAAATTCCCATTGTGCTTAGCAGAAATCAGATTTCTAAATTTTTGAGGAACATTATGCACTTGAACCCAAAAGTCTGCCTCAAATAAAATTAGTTTTTCAGGAATATCATCTGGTTGAACTGCTTTCAACAACACTAAATCTCTCTCAAACACCCAAGCTCCATCTTCCAGCACACGGTTCATATCTAAAACATGATTAAAAGTAAATAGATACTCCCTCCGTCCCATAAAATTGTTCCCGCATTGACTTGGATCGGAGTTTAAGAAAGTGAGAATAAAGTGGAAATGCGTGGTTGTGGTTGAGTAAGAAAAAGGTAAATAAATGATAGCCACAAAAAACTTTCTAAAAAGGGAAATAAGAACTATTTTTTGGGACGGCCCAAAAAGGAAACCAGGAACTATTTTGCGGGACGGAGGGAGTACCTTTTTTCATCGATTTCCTTGATTGATACCCCCTACCCAGTGGTGGACCCAGAAAATCGGGATCACGGGGTCCTCTACTCTAATGTAACTCTAATTAATAAGAGCCCGTTAGGCGATTTTTTTCCGGCTTATTAGGTTTATCAGCTAATTTATTTACCAAACACATAACTTTTGATTTCGTGCGTTGAATTGTGTAATAATAAGAAAACGTAAGTTTAGAGTTACTTTTATGGCTATATTGACTGAAGTTACTGTATAAAATCATTTAAACTATCTTTCATACTTTAGCCAATCCAGTCGCTTCATAGTATATTTCAGTTGTATTGGTTGTATTGGCGATACTATAATTTTTTCTTTACTTTATTAATAAAATATATTTTAAATATTTTTTTCATAAATAAGTAGAATCAACCAATCCAGTCACTTTAGCCGTAACTTCATAAATTTCAGTAGAATCAGTCAATATAGCCTATTCGAGTATTACCAAACAGGCTCTAAAGTAGCATAATGTTTCATAATTAACGTACATTATGAAAATATTAAGATAGACATAACACACAAAATAAAATTACATATGAAGTATATATTTTGCTCTACAATTCTACAAATGTACCTTCTTAGGTTTCAAAATGTTGGTCTTGTAGACAATTAGTCATATGAATTTCACATTTAACAATTATTTGATCTATTTTTTTCATTTAATAATGACGAATCATTTGAATTAACGTTTGATTTACTCTCGATGCTCCAAATTTCTTTAAATCCGGATACAATATCGAAATATGTTTTCATCGTACATCGCAAAGTTATTCATATATCTCATACATTTAATAATTAATCTTAACAGTCAAACCAATTTTAATAATTAATCCAAAATTTTTAATTATGTAAAATGTAAACTTCAAAATAATGATCTTTCACAAAAATACATTCAAAAAACAAAAATGGGGAACTTCAGAATTGAACCTTGTACCTCCGGGGAAAGAGAGCCCACAGTAGCGCAATGCTACCACCCGTCCACTTCGTTCTATAGTTTTTATACTCGCTTTTGGTGTATTTATACATGCCTTAGTAAATTTTATATAAAATATATATACTATATATAGTAATTTTTTTGAATGTACACGGGGTCCCGGGACCCCATGGGACCCTTAGTGGGTCCGCCACTGGCCCTACCAGGACGTCAAGCTGAAGTCATCGCATCCTGAAGCGCGTGAAAATTAACCCTCCGATCAGAAATCACCGTCCCAACCACCGGGAAGCCAATTTGATCTTCGGTCACTTCCTCAACACCGGCTTCCTCTGTATCAAAATCAAGTTCGTTATCTGCCTCCCCAATCGCCATCTTCCTATAGTTGTTAACTGTAACACCGTCCCCAAATGTATTTACTTTTAAGTGAATAATGTATTGAACCTTATGGAATGGTTAATGGGTATACGAAGTTGTGAATTTTTATTAACTCTTTTGCGTGAATAGTAATGTAACACCCCCAAATTTCCCTCCCAAAATAATACATAAAGAAATAGTAAAGTTGATTTATTTATTTAAACTTTCAGATGTTTGCAGCGGAATTAAACAACGACAAGGAAAAGGGCGTGTCACCGCCACACCCAGCCCTCATCGGACTGGATGTTAAGGCTATCCACCATAATTGTAACCAAAGTGAAGATTTAAAGTTCAACATTTAAAATAGCGTAAACGAACAAAGATTATTGTAATGAGACTAGCTTCTCTAAAAGTCTTCTAGTAGCGCTCTCAAGACATCAATCTTCATACACCACATCATCTGTAACATAAGAAAAATAAAAGAAACAAATAACACAAAAATTAGCTTTAGAGCTAAGTAAATCCCACCCAACCCCGTAAAATAATAGGTTTGGTGAAAAATAATAATTTGTACATAATATATACAAAAATGGTTTTCTTCAAAAGAGTAGTAATAATCCCAATGATTTCCTCAAGATTTCTTATAAGTATTCCAAAGAATAATTCTCAAGTACAAAAGTATTTGCTTTTCCTCAAAATAGCTTTATAGCTAATTCTCCTAATCATTTAGAAGGGCGGTGCTCAAGCGTTATTTCGATTTTTGAGCCCAGTGATCCGTTGTTCTGTACGGTCACTGTAACACCCTACCCGAACCGGCCCCGCCGTCCCGAGCGGTGTGTCACGAGGCAGGAGTCAAAACGGATTTAACCAAAAGACTTTTAATTATTTAAAACAAATTTAATTTATTATTTAAATAAATCATCGTTATTCAAACGTCAACTTATTTTTCGATACCTGAAATATCAATTCGCCATAAATCACTTAATATTATACAACACAAAATATTTAAAATATGCGGAAGCGTTTACACAACGAAAATGATCAGATAAGTTTAAAGTCAAACTTGCTTCTTATTTGTTTATTTATAAACAATACACACATGATATGCACATGAATCCTATGCCTCCTTCCATCCCAGCATCTTTATCTTAGCTGAATGTACTTCAACCTACGGGTAGGAAAAACAAACAACTACCCGCTCAGCAATGTGCTGAGTGGTACGGTACAAATACTGATAACGATAATCATAATGATAATAATAATTATCACATATTTAAATCAAATAGCAACATATCATAATTAGCATCTAGTTAAACAAACAATTGACATACCTGAGTGAGCCGAATAACGGTCATGAAAATCATAATATTCATATACAGATCAGAAGCATATTCAGATATCGTAATTATTAAATAATTCTTATCCGGAGGTATATTATTAATAAATTCATTTAAGCCTTGTACTCAAGAAACTGGACCTAGACGGAGGAATACTAACGGTAAGGAATACGAACATAAAGTCCATACCCACATTACCCAGAAAGGATATGGAAACGTAATCGCCGGAGCTACACGTACCAATCCCTAACAGAAGCTAGCTGACAGAAAGGACGAGATCACCGAAGAGACTCGAACCTTAACAGAAGAGTAATAGTGCTCTAAAAAGATTTCAGGAGTGTACATAGTACACTAAACAGGAGAACACTAATTCCTCTAAGACAGAATTTCAGGAGTGTACATAGTACACTAAACAGAACAGGAGTATTCGCGTCAGAGTACCGGATCAAGAGTAAGGCATTTAGGAAACATTTCTCTCTATTAGCTTATTTACAATAAAAAAAATAATGCGTTTAACATATCTTAAATTATTTTAGGGTATTTTTATGATTATTAACTAATCTTTATACTGAACACTTTTTATAAAATTATTAATTACTACGGAGTATATGGATTATCTTTAAGAAATTATTTTTAATAAAATACTCCTTATAACAAACAGTAACCATTACTTTAGATCCTTACGTACTAAAGTTATGCAATCAACACATAAATTATTACTCCATATTATTTTTCACTTTCGTAAATAGTAATATATAAACAAAATATATATACATGATTGACTATTATTCTAATTTTAGACCATGATCCTAAGGCACACATTTTTATGTACTTACATAGAATCTTATCTAAATGAGTTTGTGTGTGTGAATATAACGTCACACTTGTTAATTACTAAATCACACACGTATGTATACATAAATTTAAGAATCCTGATTACTCATACTCTTTATATAATGGTTTGATTCCTACATGATCGAGAATATACATACACACATATATGTTAATAATTTAGCTATAGTTACGTACTTATTTTATTACTAAAAATCTAAACTGATCATACATGTACTTATATATACCATCGTTAACTAAAGATACTTATTATATACATATTCAAGTAATCCATATATTTAGAATTTCGGCTTTTTATATATTTATAAAGTTACTGTATATATTTACCTTTAATATATTAAGAATTTCGGCCATATATTTACCTTTATACATATATTTCAGCCTTTTATCATACCACGATATCTTAAACGCTTAAAGTATATGATTTTATATGCATACGTACATACACCGAACAGAGTTACAATTGTTTAAGTTTTATTTCTCGATTTATAATTACTTAATGTTATTACCATTAAATGGTATTTCTCTTTAAACTTTACATTTATACTTATAGTAACTATAGTGAGGACCAATCGAGCACTCACAGAATGAAAGTTCTCATATTTAAAAAAAACAGATAAAATATTATGATCATGAACACATAATTGAAGCAGATAACTTATTATGATCATATACGGATTTCAACATCCCCATAACGTAACGGGGACGGATTGATACTAATAATAAAAATACTTAAAAAAATGGAAACAGAAAACGTACGGACCTTATATAAGAAATGTTAATGATATTGGACCCGAAGCTATTTTCTGCAGTTCGTTTCCACCTCTTCTACTTGCTCAAATCTTTCCCAATTGGTATATACGTAGTAGTATGTATTTTTGGAACTTATTTGTGTCTAGCCGCATGGAATTGGTTTTGGGATTATGAGAGCTATTTATATATAGTGTGAGGTAGCTATGTTCATTCATATACTTCAATTCGTAGTAGATAAAATTATTAGAGGACAGAATTATTGAAGCAACTATTCCTTCAAGACCGATGAGTCTAATTGCATTATATTATGTGTAAAATATCTAATATGAAAAGACCTTCAATTGGGCTGCCCATACCTAATCAATTTAATATGTTTGACTCTTATAATATATATTAGAGTACATACGTATGTCGGTATAAGATTAGTAGGAAGTTTAATTAAATTTTTGAGACAAGTATTGGTTTTCCATTTTGGTTCAATTAAATTAAATATTTTAAAAGAGTGTTAGAGTACGTACTATTCCATTATTACTTTATTATTAATACTCTTTTGATTAAATAATATTTTAAATTTACATGAAGTAGGAGAAAATATTAAATTTGATAAAGTAATTTATTCATATGTATCTTAACTACTAGACCGGATTTTGGGGCGTTACATTTCTCCCCCCCTTAAAAGAATTTCGTCCTCGAAATTACCTGAGTTGACGTTGTTGAACAAATATGGGTACTGAGCCATCATAGCTTCTTCGGTTTCCCAAGT